CCGTGTCCTGGAGAAGGGACTGAGACACACTTGGCTTCGTGTCCATCTCGATCCACCAGAAACCCGTGTCCTGGAGAAGGGACCAAGAGACACACTTGGCTTCGTGTCCATCCCGATCCGCCAGAAACCCGTGTCCTGGAGAAGGGACTGAGACACACTTGGCTTTGCGCCTCCTGCATCGGAGAAGGCATCTGCACCCCGCTCCTCAGAGGGTGGGCAGGAGGAAGGCAGGGAGTCTAGGAGGCGTGGGGCTCGGGGAGGCTCTGAACGGAAAGGGCAGATGTGCTTTGCGACGGGCCGTCAGTCCACAGGGCAGCAAAAGTGGCCCTGGGGTCCTGCTCTCAAAGGTGCCACTGAAGGGGCCCTGCAGACTGCCCGAGTTTGAGGCTGCAGCCTCTGCGTCCTGCCGGGCGGAGGTGGGCTCTGCTTGGGCCTGACGTTTGTTTTCACACGAAACCAAGTTCACAGTGAGGAGGGCGGGGCTTGACCCAAATGAGGAAAAGCTCAAAAGAGGATGGGGTTTCCGTAAACTGCGGGGTTTTCAGGCTTTGGACAATTCAGAAATTTGAGAGTATTTCTGCTTCTTTTGTTTTTTTGTTTTGTTTTTGAGACGGAGTCTCGCTCTGTTGCCCAGGCTGGAGTGCAGTGGCGTGATCTCTGCTCACTGCAATCCCCGCCTCCCGGATTCAAGTGATTCTCCTGCCTCAGCCTCCTAAGTAGCTGGGATTACAGGCCCCTGCTACCATGCCCAGGTCATTTTTGTATTTTTAGTAGAGACAGGGTTTCGCCATTTTGGCCAGGTTGGTCTCGATCTCCTGAACTCAAGTGATCCTCCTGACTTGGCCTCCCAAAGTACTGGGATTACACGCCTGGCCTCTGCTTCTTAACATAGGGAAACGCTGGAAAACAAAGAGGAAGCTCCATCTGGGGGTGGGGGTGTTACGCATTTGACTCCTGCTCAGGTGTGGGTGGCCTTTTGGCCGGGGGACTGCGGACCGCGATGGGCCTGGCTTGGCTGGGCAGAGGGGCAGGGCAGAGCGCCCTCCTGGCTTGAGTCTGGCCTCCTGACTTGCTTGGGCCCAGAGCATGGAGGAAGTAGCCAAGCTGACCAAGACTCCTGGGCAAGGAGCTGGCTTCCCAGACCTATGAGGACCTGGGGGACCCTCAGGCCTGGCGGAGCTGCTGTGTCTGTAGCCATTTAGTGACCCCATGTGAGATGTGACCAGAAGCCCCTCCCTGTGGGGCCCAGGCTAACCTATTGACCCCAGGCTCAGGAGCAGTTACTAAAGCAGTGGCCGTTTTCACCCCTGAGCCACGGGCAGCAAATAATGGAGATGCACCGAGTGCTACGGGACCCAGTGGGCACACGGGTGTGTGCAGGCCACGGGCCACAGTAAGGCAGGGAGAAGAGGGCACGGCCACGGTGAGGCGGGAGAAGAGGCCATGGGCCCCACCTCCTTTCCTGTCCTCTGAAGTCAGACAGGTGGATGCGAGTTTCCGAGCCCCCAAAAGTGCCCGCCCCGCAGCAGCGGCTCCCGTGGACGCCAGACCTTCCCGCGCGCCGTGGGAGACCTCCCCTTCGTAACACCCGCCGGCTTTGTACTCCATGACGCCACGTCCTTGAGGCTCTCCCAGGACAAACTGTCCAGAGAAGGTGTCCCCTGCGTGTGGAGGAGAAGAGAGACAAAAGGCGGGTCAGGGCTGCCGCCTGTCGGCCCTGCCATCCCTGGCCCGCGAGACGCAGGAGCCACTTCAGAACGGGCGCCCTGCCTCCATCACAGCACATCACAGGGAAACGTGGGGGGCAGGTCTGGCCTCCCAGCAGCTGCGCGGGCAGACAGCCTAGGCACACTCTGCGGGCATCTGTCCTGAGGCCTCCGCTCCCCTGTGCCAGAGGGCAAAGGACCCTCTGGTCGGAGTCTGCAGAGTGAGCTTTTCCCCTGGCTCTTTGAAAACTGAAAGCCAAGCCTGAGAGGAAGGAGCTCCACTGGACACCGCCGGCCGCTCTGCCCGGAGGCTCTGAGGTCCTGGAGACAGCTCCTGGCCACCCGCGCGGGCGTCCCCACAGCGGGCTTCCCATCTCGGGATACACTACGGCTGAACCAGCTTTAAAGAAAAACGCGTAACTCGGGACTGGTACATCTTTACTCCAGAGCAGCGTCTCCGGAAGCCTGAGTTGCTCTCGGTGGTGACCACAGAGCCTCCCTGGAGTCCCAGGAACGGATCCCCAGGGCTTCCCAGCGCACAGGCGCCTCACAGCACATCACACCTTCTGCGTCCAGGCTGGAGGGGCTGACTGAGCCCAGCAGGTTATGAGAAAGGCGCGAAGGTGCCATCCCGGCTGGCGCTCACCTGACCAGGCCCAGTGCCGGCGGCCCTCGCCCGTGATCTCTCCGTCCACAAACGCCCCTTCGTAATAACTGCCATCTTTAAATAACAACTTCCCGTGGCCTGCCAAGAGAAAGCGTCACGGGAAGTCAGTGGCTGGGATGGCTACGAACGGCCTGCTGTGTCGGGACGTTTCTCAGAGCGAAGAGCTGTGTTTGGCTCCATCACTCATGCTATACACGCATTTAAAAATAAAAAAAGTCAGGCCGGGTGCGGTGGCTCACGCCTGTAATCCCAGCACTTTGGGAGGCCGAGGCGGGTGGATCACGAGGTCAAGAGATTGAGACCATCCTGGTCAACACGGTGAAATCCCGTCTCTACTAAAACTACAAAAAATTAGCTGGGCATGGTGGTGCGTGCCTGTAGTCCCAGCTACTCAGGAGGCTGAGGCAGGAGAATTGCCTGAACCCAGGAGGCGGAGGTTGCGGTGAGCCGAGATTGCGCCATTGCACTCCAGGCTGGGTAACAAGAGTGAAACTCTGTCTCAAAAAAAAAAATAAAAATAAATAAATAAAAATTAAAAAAGTCCTCAAAACATCCGCTGAAACACGCCTGAGCGGCCTGCACCTTCAGCCAGAACAAGCAGAGGAATGAAAGTGCAGATGACCAGCCTGAGCAACATGGAGAGATCCTGTCTCCACAAAACATTTTCAAAATTCTCCGGGTACGATGGTGCGTGTTTATGGTTCCAGTTGCTCAGGGGGCTGAGGGGGGAGGCTCACTTGAGCCAGGAGGTTGAGGCTGCAGTGAGCCATGTTTGGACCACTGCACTCCAGCCTGGGTGACAGAGAGACCCCGCCTCAAAAATAAATAAATAAATAAATAAATAAATAAATAAATAAAGTGCAGGATGAGACCTCATCCCTGAGCCTCCCAAGGGGACACTCCCATCACCCTGCTCCTGTCAACATGAGGAAAGAAAAAGCCTGGAGAACACAGCGCCACAGAAGAGCACATTCTAAAAGGGGGAACGACCCGTCCATGCCTGCCTGGGGGACAAGAATCTTTCATATCAGACCCTAAAAAGGCATCTGTGTAGCAAAACACTAAAAAAAAGTTAAACATTTTAAAAATATAGAAAATACTGACAGATATAAAAATAGCTCATATAGAAAACGCCAGAAGACAACCCTCCAGTAGAAAACGGCAGAGTGGCTGGGCGCTGTGGCTCACGCCTGTAACCCCAGGACTTTGACAGCCCAAGGCAGGCGGATCACCTGAGGTCAGGAGTTCAAGACCAGCCTGGCCAACATGGTGAAACCCTTCTGCCTCTACTAAAAAGCTACATAAAAAATTAGCCACGTGTGGTGGTGTGGACACCTGTAATCCCAGCCACTGGGGAGGCTGAGGCAGGAGAATCGATTGAACCGGGGAGATGGAGGCTGCAGTGAGCTGAGATCGAACCACTGCACTCTAGCCTGGGTGACAGAGTGAGACTCTAGCTAAAAGAAAAAAAGAAAACTGGGCAGAGTGGCTGGTTGTGGTGGCTCACGCTGTAATCCCAGTACTTTGGGAGGTCAAGGTGGGCGGATCACCTGAGGTCAGGAGTTTGAGACCAGCCTGGCCAAAGTGGTGAAACCCCGTCTCTACTAAAAACACAAAAATTAGCTGGGCCTAGTGGCTCGCGCCTGTAGTCCCAGCTACTCAGGAGGCCGAAGCAGGAGAATCACTTGAACTTGGGAGGCAGAGGTTGCAGTCAGGCAACAAGAGCTAAACTCTGTCTCAAAAAAGAAAGAGAACTGGCAGATGGCAGATACAGAGCTGTGAGAGGAGCATGGTGACAGGAGGGTCCCCCCAGAAGGGTCATGGCACTTGCCTGGGGTTGGGGGTCCAAGTGATATCAACTTTATACTTTTTTTGTTTTGTTTTGAGATGGAGCCTCACTCTGTCACCCAGGCTGGAGTGCAGCGGCGCAATCTCAGCTCACTGCAACCTCTGCCTCCCGTGTTCAAGGGATTTCCCTGCCTCAGTCTGCCAAGTAGCTGAGATTACAGGTGTGCACTACCATATCCAGCTAGTTTTTGTATTTCTAATAGGGTTGGAGGTTCACCAGGCTGTTCTGGAACTCCTGACCTCAAGCTATCCGCCCACCTTGGTCTCCCACAGCGCTGGGATTACAGGCGTGAGCCACTGTGCTTGGCCTGACTTTATGCTTTCTTTTTCCTATTACTTGAACTTTCTACAACAGTAAGTTCTCTTTATATCAGAAATAAACCATAAAGTCTGTTTTCACTCTGGAAAAGACAAGCTCAATCTCCAGGGAGAATTTCTGAGTCGCAGCTTCTTTTGCTAAAGGTGGCCCTCCGGGGCGTCTCCCAGGATCCTGCTTCCCTGCCCATCCGGCCTTACCCCCAGCAGCCAGGGAAGCACTAGGGTTCAGTGTGCTTGAAAGCTACAGGAAATGCCACTTGCCCACCCAACCTCCCAGGGAGAAACCGGCTCCATCAGCCTTGGGGCGGCAGTGGCAAGAAAAGACCCCAGAGGCTTCTCACCGTGTTTCTTTCCTCCTTTCCATTCTCCTTCATATCGAAAGAAGGAATTTGGGTATACGTAGACACCATAACCTGAATATGGAGAAGACACACACAGGTGAGCACAGACACTCTGAGGTGAGGGGTGGTCTCCTCACCTCTGAGGGAGGGAGTGCAGCTCACTCAAGGGCATTTCAGGGGTTGGTGCCCTTCACCTTCCACTGCCCAGAAACGCCCTGTGGGGTTCATGAGCTCTCCTGTCTACTGTGGGTCCATCCATTTGCTCATGTGTTTATGGGACAAGGATGAGCACCTACTTGGTGCAGAGAAGACAGGCCCAGCAAGAGGAGGGCTGGGTTGTCGGGAGGGGGAGGTGGGGAGCCTTGTTGCAGAGGGGATGAGTGGGCCAGGGGAAGGCACAGGAGCAGCGTCAGTGAGGGCACACAGGCGAGGAGCAGACCCTCCCATTCCCTGCTGTGACCCTTCAGTGGCCTTCTATCCTCAGGGGACAAAATCCACACTCATACCCAAGGAGGGCCTGGCCAGCTTCATCTCTTCTCACTCAGTTGCTGAGTGTGCCAGCCAACTCCCGAAGTTCCTGGAAGGGGCAAGGCTCCCTCCCCCCCAGCTTCCCAGGCACATCTTGGGGGCAGGGTTTATGGGAAAATGTCGGGGAGGAGGGCAGGGGGTTCCCGCAGGCTCCTGTATATGTCCAAATCAGGAAGGTTCTACCTGAAGATACTGGTGTGAGCTCTGAATTCATTTCAGACCCGTTTATTTGATTCCAGGAACAGTTCCTGTCAAAAACTACTCCTTTTTTTTTTTTTTTGAGACGGAGCCTTGCTCTGTCACCCAGGCTGGGGTGCAGTGGCTCGATTTCGGCTCACTGCAACCTCCGCCTCCTGGGTTCAAGCTATTCTCCGGCCTCAGCCTCCCGAGTAGCTTGAACTACAAGCGCCAGCACGCCTGGCTAATTTTTGTATTTTTAGAAGAGACGGGGTTTCGCCATGTTGGCCAGGCTGGTCTCGAACTTCTGACTTCAGGTGATCCAAAGTGCCGGAAGTACAGGCAAAAACTGCTTTTGAAATGCATCCTCGAGTTTCTAGACAGCACCGGCCAGGAAGGCAGGAGGCTTGGTGCTGGTCCTGCGCCTGCCCTCGCCCCGCGTCCTGGGATTAGGGATCCTCATGGCAACACCAGGCCCCGCTGGCTGCGAGGCTTTAGCCCGAACCCGGCCTTCCCTGCGAGGAGCCCGCGGGGGGCGACCTCCTGCGGGGCTGGACCCGCTGCGGAAGGAAGGCTCGGGGAAGGGTGCGAGCCGAGCCCAGGTAGGCGCCCGGCGAATTCTGGATGGGAGTGGGGAACGCGGGGGTGGCCCCGGCTCCGCCGCTGCACTTGGACCTCCATTTTCCGAGGTGAGCATTTGGGGGTCGAGGGCGTAGAGCGATCGCACCCCGAACGGAGCCCAGGACAGCGACCCGCCCTGTAGCCCGCAGTTGTTACCGTCCCGGGGCGGCCGCCTCGGCGGGTCCCGGCGCGGCCTGCGGGAGCTCCGGGTGCCCTCGCCGGCCGCCGCCATCTTGCTGCCGGGGGTTTCCTTAACGACCAGCAACGCACGCTTCCATTGGTCTTTGTCGCAAGGGGGTGTGGCCACGGGCCTAGTCCCTGGGCTCGCGCAATCTCTGGAGTGAATCTAGCCGGACCCGGAGCCAGAGGACGCAGCTGCGCCTGTGCACGCGGCGCGTTTCCGCCGCTGCCGTCTCTTCCGCCGAGAGGCACGCCCGCCAACGGCTTCCGCGTCTGCGCCGGAAGCGGAAATGGTTGGAGCCCTCGGCCCCGCCCCCGCGCCATCTTGGGGGCCCTGGAGGCGGCGCCGCGCAGGACGGAGCGGAAGTGCTCGCTGCAGCTTCCCGGAGCCCGAGCGCAGCGCCGGCGGCCGCCCCTGCCCCGCCGTCCTCCTTCCCGCGGCCGTGAGGGAGACCGCGGCTCGGCCGCAGCGGAGCTGCGAGGTGCCGGGAAGGGCTGCGTGGCGCGGGAACGGCCGGGCAGCGCCGCCTCCGCTCTTTCCGGGCTGTCGAGGCCGCGGGCGGGCGGGGCCGCGCTGAGGCCCGGGCGGGGAGGGCCCTCGGGGCCCAAGTGGCCGCGGGGAGCCTGTCCCCGACCCGCGGCCCTGGGGGATATGGGTCGCGCCTCGGGGCGGGCCCGGGAAGAGGGGCCTGGGGGTGGCGGCGGAGAGGGGTCCGGAGGTGCAGGCCGAGGCCTCGGGCCCGCGAGGGGCGGGGGAGCGGGAGAGGGGCCAGGCGGGGGCCGCTGCCCTCCCCAGCCGGGCCGCGTCTCGTCCGATTCCCCTGCCGGGCGTTTGGGGAAGCGGGCAGTTGCCGACCCGCAGCGCCCTGCGTTGGGCTGGATTGGAGCGGGGATGCGCCCTCTCCCCGTCCGGCGTCCAGGTCAGAGCAAATCTGTAGGGTTTAGCGTGAAGCCCTGGGGTGACGGCGTCCCTGACGGGCTGAAGGGGGACCGGCCGCCTCGGTTCCGATTGTGTTCGAAATAGGCAATAAAGTCATAAATGCTCCGGCTGACTGCGTACTGGTGTGTGGTCCACTGAGAGTCACCGTGCGTGCCCCTGCCAGGCGTGCCCCTGCCAGGCGTGCCCCTGCCAGGCGTGCCCCTGCCAGGCGTCCCCCCGCACAGACGCCTGCTTTCAGCCTAGGTACCTTCAGGGGCCTTTTCCCGCTTTCTCTTTATGAAGAGTAGGGACTGGCCGGTAGTTTCGGAAGCACTTGATTCTTAGTTGGGTTGACATGTCCTAGGAAGATGCAGTCTTCCCCTAAGTGGATGAAGGGTCCCCAGTAATTGAGACTCTCACTTGGCTTCTGCCGTGTGCCCGAGGTGACCGCGCCTGCAGTGCGTCGGAGCCAGGTGCAGATGTGAGGTGGTCAGGCGCAGAGGAGAGAGGAGCCCAGGCTGGAATGTGGCCTTGGGAAAAAGGAAGAGACAGGGTCTGGGGGGGGTCTCAGAGGACGGAACAACGCCAGACGCGTAAAGCCTGGTGCGGCAGCCGGGGCTTTCCTCGTCCTGAGGAGTTGGGGTGGGGACGTGAAGAGAAAGGTGGTGGGAGGCAGGGGACGTCATCCATTCCACGCAGCAGCGCTTCCTGTCTTAGTGAAGGACCACACACGTGGATGAATGTGGCAAGCCGTGGAACAGGGCACATGGAGAGCTTTACACTTTCCGGCATGTCCTCATGGTCTCTGCTTGCACTGGTTTTATCTGCCTCTTAGTTTTGTTTGTGACTGGGCCTAAAGTAGTCATCTTCAACAGGTGACTGATGGGCTGCCTACTATGTGATGGACTTCTACGTGGTAGGGCCCAGTCTAGAACCTGACAAGGGACTCCTCAAGGAGCTCCATTCTAGCAGAAAATTGAGAAACCAGAAAGGCGTCAGAAAACAATTGTACACAAAATAAAAAAGCAGGGTGATGGGCTAGGCGCGGTGGCTCACGCCTGTAATCCCAGCACTTTGGGAGGCCGAGGGGGTGGATCATGAGGTCAGGTGTTGGAGACCAGCCTGGCCAAGATGCTGAAATCCCCACTCCACTGAAAATACAAACATTAGCTGGGCATGGTGGCGGGCGCCAGTAATCCCAGCTACGTGGGAGGCTGAGGCAGGAGAATCGCTTGAACCCAGAAGGTGGAGATTGCAGTGAGCCCAGATTGCACCATGGCACTCTAGCCTGGGTGACAGAGTGAGACTCTGTCTTAAGAATAAATAAATAACGGTGATGTGATGTAGGGGACTGGGGTCAGTGTGGGCGGTCACGGATGCCTCTGAAGGGGAGGTGGCATTCAAACAGCAGAGAAGAGGACTGCAGGGGGCAGCTGCTGTGAGGGCTGGCCCTGATCTGGGAACAGGGCTGGCACTGCCTTGCCTGGCACTGAGGGTGCTCCACGGGCTGCCCATTGACTCCTTGTGAGAGCCTGGTAGAGAAGGCAGGAGAGGTGCTGTTGTCCCATTTCACAGACTGGAGCCTGAGGCATCCTGGAATAGCGTGTCCAGGTCACACTGGCAGAGTGAGGCAGAGCCGGGCTCTGAAAGGCCGTTGAAGTCCAAAGTTCACGTTCCTGCTCCTGCCACGCTGCCTTGAGCTGTTCAGAGTGCGAGCCGTGTTTGGTGTACGTGTTGTGTGTGTCAGACAAGCAGAATTGGCTGATGCGTTTTTAGTAGGTTTTCCACATGTTCAGCTGGAGAGTGAGAAGCTCTGAGCTTTGCCTAGAGAACACCCTTACGTGGGAAAGCAGGAATTTTCTCTCTCACTCCAGCCAAGCAAAGGTGCTTTAATGGGAAACATTCCGTCTGAGTAAAATAGGCGGAAACTTGTAAGGAGCTACAGGACCAAGAATGTGACTGAAGTCCCTTTCAGATGGCCTGGCTTTGGCCTAAATAGGGTGCCCATTCCAGGTGGTGCATTCTAGTGTAGCCCCTATTTCAATGTGGAGTTCTCAGTGGAGCGTAGAGGTGCTCCTGTGTGTCTTCTGTTTACACGGCTAGTCCAAAGGGCCCCTTGGTCTCCTCGAGCCTGCCTGGCCTCTGCACAGAGGAGCCAGGAAGCGGTCACGGAGCCACATTCTGCATAGCGCTGGCGACGCGGAGGGAGCTGCCCGGATCACTTCAGCGCTTCAGTTGTGATGGGAAAGCAGAGGCACTTGGGGGATCGAGTCTGGCCACCTGCCCCCTTCCACCCCGAAGGGAAGATGCCCCTGGTGCTCGGTGACTGGAAAAGCGTTGGTTTCAGGAAGGTGCAGGTTCCAGTTCCCACCCACTGTGACCATGCTGATGGGTGGGGACACCTCGTTAGCCTTTGTGAGCCTCAGTTTTCTTATCTGTAAAAGAGAACCGTAAGACCGACTGCAAGGATTGCTGAGGAATAATGTCTTTGCCTTTGTGTCTGGTGTTTTTTTTTTTTTTTCTTTGTGATGGAGTTTCGCTCTTCTTGCCCAGGCTGGAGAGCAATGGTAAGATCTCAGCTCACTGCAACCTCTGCCTCCTGGGTTCAAGTGATTCTCCTGCCTCAGCCTCCTGAGTAGCTGGGATTACAGGCACGCGCCACCATGCCCAGCTGATTTTGTATTTTTAGTAGAGACAAGGTTTCACCGTGTTGGCCAGGCTAGTCTCGAACTCCCGACCTCAGGTAATCCCTCTGCCTCAGCCTCCCAAAGTGCTGGGATTACAGACCTGAGCCACCACGCCCGGCCCGTGCCTGGCCAGTTTCTTAGAGCCTCGTTTTACAGATGAGGAAACAGGCTGGCTGCTTGCAGAGGGTTTCCTGAAGGCCTCACAGCCGCTGAGCACAGGGGGGACTGTAAGCCAAACCTGAGACTGGAGGCTGTTTCTCCTCACCACCCCGCCGAGGCAGAGATGGGGGTGGGGGTGATGTGAACTTTGCCGTGGCATCTTCTCTAGCTCAGGGGCCAGCAGGCAGCTTATCTTTAAAGTAGGAGTGACAACTGGCAGGCCCCGGGTACTCAGCAGCACTTCCCGAAGAGCGGCGGGTCCTGAAGCCAGCTCGGCTCCGGAGTGACGTGGGGCGTGCTCAGCTGAGCAGCCAGGTGGCAGTCAGGCTTGGCTTGGCCTGCTCAGAAGCAGAACTGTGACGGGACCTTGGACACGTGGCTTCCACTGGTTGTGACTAGGTCCTCCTTTGTGAGATGGGGGTAAGGATGCCCTTCACTTGGGCATCCGGGAATTAAGTGGGTAAACTGTGACCTCTGGCACCTGGCTTCTGAGTGAATTCCTCACGGCGTCACAGCAGTGTGCGGAAATAGGAGCAGACCCGTTACCTCCACTTGCCAGATAAGAAACTGGGACGCAGACGGATGGACTAGTTGAGAACTGTAGATAACGTTTTGCTGTGTGTGGGGTGGAGGACCTGGCCCTGGAAGGACAGGACCCTTCCTGCTCCCGCCAGACCGGTGACCCAGGACAGGTGCCTGGGGGGGACACTGAGGGATCCACATCCCTGGAGGGAGGATGTACAGTGCCACGTGCCAGGGACCAGCCCAGGGACCCGACAGCCAGGATGCTTCTGGGGCCAGTGGGGTGGACGGCGCCGCCCATGCTCAGGTGACTGAGGTGCCGACAGTGGGAATGCAGAGGCACCCGTGCTCCAGGGCAAGTCCGCCTCACACCGCCCTTCCCTCCACGGAAGCCTGTGCATCTGCTGCTTTTTCCTGAACAGTTGATAGTGAAAACACAAATGGTGTGGACGCAATGCTGAATATTGAAACCTACTTGACAGTGTTGGTGAACATAGGGCCAAGATTTCACATCCTCGAATGCTTTTTATTTAAATGTCTTGTGTCTTTCTCAGTTACAGAATGTCTGAAGGGGACAGTGTGGGAGAGTCCGTCCATGGGAAGCCTTCGGTGGTGTACAGATTTTTCACGAGACTTGGACAGGTTGGTGGGTTTTTTGGTAGATCAGTATAAATATTTAAAGAAGAAATTGTGGACTCCCAGCATTTTCCTGAAGGATCCGTCTGCTGGTGTTCCTGATGGAGAAGTGACACCCTCAGGCTGGAACTTCCCGAGGACGGTGCTCTCTCCACCGTATCGTGCACTGCGGTTTTCTGTAAAGGGCCATTTGTGGAGACATCGGGCTCTGGGGCCACATGTGGTCTGTCACAGAAGTGTTTTCTGTTTCTCTTTTCCTTTTACCAACCTTTAGAAACATAAAACCTAGTCTTGGCTCCCAGGCAGCACAGATGTGGTCGCGGCTGCTGTTCTGCTCTTGCTGTCCCCTCCTGGCCGCCCACATCCCCTGGTGCTGGACCCCCACCCTCTCCGTGTCACCATCCACGGTGCTGCCCCTGAGGGCGGGAGGCTCTTGTGTGGCCCCGGGGCCTGGGGCCACGTGTTTGTGGGCTGCGTGTGCACTTGGTGGGTGAGGCGCCTAGAGCTGCCTTTGATCACTGGAGCCTGAAGCTCCGTCTCAGGAAAAGCCTGGGTCACCCAGCAGTCCCAGCTGCTGAGATGCTGGCTCAGATAAAAATCTGTCAACTTTGTAATTAAATCCCATGTGAAAAACGACTATCAGTGAAGTTGGGTGATGGGAATATATGGGCTTACGTAATCTTTTTACTTTTGTGAATTTTGAAGTTTTCTAAAAATTAAATTTCAAAATTAAAATTTAAAAATCCTGGCTGGGTGAGGTGGCTCATGCCTATAATCCCAACACTTTGGGAGGCCAAGGCGTTTGGATCACGAGGTCAGGAGATCAAGGCCATCCCGGCCAACATGGTGAAACTCTGTCTCTACTAAAAATACAAAAAAAATTAGCTGGGCGTGGTGGCGCGTGCCTGTAGTCCCAACTACTCCGGAGGCTGCGGCAAGAGAATTGCTTGAACCTGGGGGGCGGAGATTGTAGTGAGGTGAGATCGCGCCACTGCACTCTAGCCTGGGTGACAGTGCGAGACTCCATCTCAAAAAAAGAAAAAAACCAAAAATTTTAAAGTCCATCCATATGTATGTATGTAAAGACTGAGGGCTCCCTTGGTTCTTCCACAGCCCTCTGGACGCCCACACGTGCAGGTGTGGCTGCCGGGGCTCAGGCTGTGGCCACTGGGCCTGGGGGCGGGGCAAGGCTGGTGCTGGCAGTGCAGATGAGGGAGCTGACTTGGGACATGGCGATGAGGGCTGTGCTGTAGGGTGGGGGTTTGAGACGCACAGTCTCGTCTCTGGGGTGAGGTTGGGTCTTCCCCATAGTCATCCCTTTGGGCCAGCACCATGTCACCATCTTCTAGGAGATTGTGACGTAATATTCTCGCCTAAGAGATGAACCTGCGTCAGGAATTATTGCAGATATATTTGGATGAATTGTCACTGCTGTGTGCTGATACATAGATGGTCTCTTGCTGTTTTAACTTACTCTTAGCCTTTTAAGAATGAAAAACCAGCCATAGCAGAAGGTGCATTTTGTGGCAGGGTTAGTGCAGAACTTACAGGGCCTGCCTCATGCCTTTGCATTCTTGTCTTTCTAGATTTATCAGTCCTGGCTAGACAAGTCCACACCCTACACGGCCGTGCGATGGGTTGTGACACTGGGCCTGAGCTTCATCTACATGATTCGAGTTTACCTCCTGCAGGTAGGTGTGGGCCGCAGTGGCGGACTCGGCTCTGTCCGTGTTCCCAGGACGTGGTGCTGAGGGGGTGCTGCTGATCCAGTTTGTCTTGCAGGACGTGGTCTCTAGGAGTCACTTTCAGCTAAGTGCCAAGTGTCAGAACGATCTCAGTGACTGTCTTTAACACAGGGTTGTTTATGATTCACCTGGAGTCTGTCCCGTCCCCTTTCCAGGCTTCTCAGTGCACCCAGGCAGTCCTGAGCCCAGCCTTGGGCGTGTCCAGGCCTGGACAATGAGCTGCCATTGACCCACTGACCCTGCTGCATGGTGGTCAGGACAAGATGGCGCTCTGCGGCTGCTTCGTTCCTCGGTTGAAGTTTCCATACTTTGGGTGCCGTGAATGATTTGGCATTCAAAAGGGTTTATTTAGCCTTTCCTGAGTTTGTCAGTCGTCCCTGGGTCAGGTGACATCTCCTCAGACTTCACCTTGGGTGCTCCTTTACTTTCTAGTAAACACGTGATTTCTAGGAGCAAGCTTGTAAGATGGGAATTCTTTGCAGATCTTAGAGGAGGTTATTTAGTCTTTCTGTGTGCAGAACAGGAAGGTTTGAAGCCTTGTCCGGCTCTTTTCTCTCTGGGGACTGTGGAAAATACCTCCTTGTTTAAAGCACACACCTTAATTGGCTTTAGTTTAGTTTTTTGTTTTTTTTTTTTTAAATTTGAACTGGGTCCATTCTCCGATGGAAAGAATGACTTAGCAACCTTGAATCAGGGATTTCAGGCAGGAGCAGGGGGCGGGAAGAGCACAGCACGACTATGTTGTAAACGCAGCCCCTTCACGCGCGGCCCTGCGGCAGGAAGGTGGACACAGACATCCAGTCAACCCTCACATCTGGCATTTAGCCGTCTGACTTGAAAAACTTGTGGGCAGAAAGATTTCTTGTTTGTAAGAGAAACTTAAAGCTTTTATATTTTATTTTATTATTTGTTTTTGAGATGGGGGTCTCACTCTGTCACCCAGCCTAGAGTGCAGTGGCATGATCTTGGCTCACTGCAACCTCTACCTCCCGGGTTCAAGTGATTCTCTTACCTCAGCTTCCCCACCAGCTGTGACCACAGTCATGTGCCACCACGCCCGGCTAATTTCTGTATTTTTAGTAGAGATGAGGTTTCACCATGTTGGCCAGGCTGGTCTCAAACTCCTGACCTCAGGTGATCCACCCACCTCGGCCTCCCAAAGTGTTGGGATTACAGGCGTGAGCCACCGCACCTGGCTGAGAAATTTAAGGCTTTTAAAATTGAGAATGCAGTCCTGGCTTCTAATGGGATATACCTCATCCTTTTAAGGATGAATTAGTTGCAAGTAAGTGTGCTGCATGCAGGCATCTTGCCGGAATTCTCCCCACTTTGCATCTCTTGAGGAAGGCTTGGCTTAAGCATGCTTTTCGAAGCTGCCTTCTTGATTTCCTGTGTGGATTTCTTCTGGGCAAAGGTTTAACCCTCCTGGCAGTGTTTCTGGCGATGTGAATCGTCTGTTGGAGGAACATCAGCCAGCATGCCTCTCGTCACAGCTGAGGTTCCGCCCTCTGGTTCTGATGACCGTGCTCCTGGTTGGGGCTCTGCCCAGCATCCTCAGGTGCCTGGGCCGCCCGAGCCTGTGCTGCAGCTCGGCTGTGTGCTTCTTGAGAAAAGCCTCCTTTTCTGCTGTGCTCCTGCTGGGGCGCCTGTGACTTCAGGGGTCACGTGGTCTAACTGGACCGTTGAAGAGCTTTGCTCATTTGGGCCCTGGCTTGTCCACTTAGTCTCAGGACCCACAGGGTATAATCCGAAGTAAATTGTTACCATGGGATGTCACTGTGCTTCCTTGTCTGTAAGTAAATTTTCTGTTTTTAAGATCAATTGAAACCAAGTTGGGAGTGAACCGGAGTGCAGCCATGAGCTGGATCGGGCGGACGGGCGTTGGAGTGCACCGTTGACTCTTTCTCCTTCTCTTTCAGGGGTGGTACATTGTGACCTATGCCTTGGGAATCTACCATCTAAACCTTTTCATAGCTTTTCTTTCTCCCAAAGTGGATCCTTCCTTAATGGAAGACTCAGGTAGGGAGCGGCTGTGCACTGGGCTGGGTGGCAGCTGGTGCTTACGTTTTCTGATGGGATTGCCTAGTGTCCTCTGGAAATACCTGAGGCTCTGCTCTTGGGGTTGAAATGTATGTGTTACGTTGGGTGATCAGGATATGTTTGTAGAAACACTCTTTAGACCCTCCTGACAGCCCCGAAATGGGTGTCCATTCTGTTTTCCCACTTTGCAGATGAGGAAACTGAGGCGTACAGGGCTAGGTAACGTGTTCAGGGTCACCGAGTACCACAGACAGCAGGGGTGTGAGGCGGACGGTTGACTCCAGCACCCGCCCTACCCCAGTCAGTGGCCGCTCATAATCACTGGAGGAGGCTATGGTGAGGGTACCTTTTCCCCTAGGCAGAGGATTCCACAGGCAGCTTACTGGCTCACGGAGACTGCCGGGACCCTGATGCCAACGTCAGGTCAGGCCAGGTTCCGGGTGGCCTTTGGTTTCTGAGGAGCCATGAGCTGAAGTGCTCCTGGGGCTTCGTGCTCCATGCTTGGAAACTCACGCTGCTCCTGGGCCTGCCTGGCTAGGTAGGGGCCCCAAGTTCATGGCTGACCGGCCAGCCCCAGGAGAGGAGCAGACACCTGTGCATTCCAGGACGTCGTGGCCACTGTGGGGACACGCACGCACAGCCCCCTACCAGGACCCTCCTCGTGCTGGGGAACCTGCTGTCGGGAGCAGAGTGTTTTTTCATTGTGGGGCCAGAAGCCCATGAGTCTTTGCGTAGAGCATGTGACGGAAAGATTGACGGGGGGAGCACAGCTCCTCTCACTTGTTGCTGTTTGGGGGAGACTAGAAAATGAAGAGCCCCTTTTCCGCAGACCTCAGTTAAATGGGGAGGGGCACCTGACCAGCGGGGAGGTGGGGTGAGGGTGGGCCTGACGCAGCTGCTGGTGGGACAGGCCTGGCCCCGGGTCCCCAGTCAGCGCTGCCTCGGCCCCGCCCTGTTCTCTGCGCTCAGTTTTGTACCTTTATGTGGTACAGCTGACTCGCTGCTGGACGTTTATATGTGGTTGAGTTCTTTATGCATTTAAAACGTGGACGTCTTCTAAAAAATTCTGCCAGCATCTTCTAAAAGCAATGAATTGATGAATTGACGTGTGACGTGACCACAGACCCCCATTTTTATCTTTGGTTAACGATACACATACCTTTGTTTACATATGTGAGGCCTGCTAGTCAAAACTCTTTAGGGGAACACTTAGAAATGCGATAGAAATAAAAAGAGGCAGGTTGTCCCTGATGGTTGCTCTGCCTTGCAGATGACGGTCCCTCACTACCAACCAAACAGAACGAGGAATTTCGCCCCTTCATCCGAAGGCTTCCAGAGTTTAAATTTTGGTGAGCTAATTCTTCACGGTATTTGAGAAGGAGCATTGTGCTCAAGGGTGGCCCATGAGACTCTGAGACTGTGCTGAGTTTTGTTCAGGTCACCCAAAAGATGAGTGCTATCCTGGGCTGGGCAGGGCACCGGGGAGCCTCAGGGGCTCTCCGGGGGAGGCCACTCACCACCTTGCCGCATGCCCTTGGTTTCAAGTCAGCACCAGTGCCCTGGAGGCTGGCGGAAAGGTGGCTGGTTCTGGGATGGAGTGCTCACTGGCTTCTGCGGTCGTGGCCTGGGGAGGGCGTGTCTGTTCGGCCAGTCTCTCCCCTCCCTCCTCCCTCTCTCCCCTCCCTCCTCCCTCTCTCCCCTCCCTCCTCCCTCTCTCCCCTCCCTCCTCCCTCTCTCCCCTCCCTCCTCCCTCTCTCCCATCCCCAGCCTTGTGGCTCCCTGTGGCTGGCAGAGGAGGACTAGCCTTCTCCTGGAGTCATTGTTGAGATGGGCCTGAGCAGAAGTGCCCGTGTGTGTACAGGTAGGCAGAGGTGGGTGGCACAGCCACCAGGATGACGGGAGCTCTGTGACTGCATGCATTTGCTCCATCCCTCATACCCCACCCTGGGGAGGAACCCAGGTCTGTTGGTTCAGTGAACGGAAGGAGCCTGCTGAGCTCTCGGGGTGGAGTGTGAATCAGAAAGATCAGGGCTCCGGAAGCCCACAGAAGCTTGGACTAGGGAGGGAGAGCTGAGTCTGAGTCTCCTGGAGGTGATGGCAGCTGCCGGCCGTGTGCTGGGACGAGAGGGAACACTGCTGGCCATGCCGCAGCAGCGAGCTGAAGGCCCTGGACGGTCCTCAAGACACAGCCTGGGTTTCTCTCCAGATTGCAGGTTCAGCAGCGGGCATGGGGCACGCAGCCTCAGCCCTGAGGCTTTATACCTTGTGTAGTTGTACGGAGAGTTGTACCTTTGAAGGGGATGAGAGAAGGCGTCTCTGTGGTTAGGGCGGTACGTGTATGAGCTGCATGGGAAGGGCCATGCTGCTCCTGTGCCCGGGGTGGACCCCTCCTCTCCACAGCGAGGCTTCTGTTTGCGGGTCGGTGTGGCTGCAAGGCTGGAGGCGACCAGCAGGGGCCCAGTGCTGGCTGCAGGTGCGGCGCTAACCTTCTCTCCCCACTTGAAGGCACGCGGCTACCAAGGGCATCCTTGTGGCTATGGTCTGTACTTTCTTCGACGCTTTCAACGTCCCGGTGTTCTGGCCCATCCTGGTGATGTACTTCATCATGCTCTTCTGTATCACAATGAAGAGGCAGATCAAGGTAAAGGAGGCGCTGCCGCCGTGCTGGCCGTTGCTGCTCTTCCGTTCCTGAGGTGCAGGGGAGCCGCGCTGGGTTATGCTGGGTGGTGGCAGAGTCTGCCTGGTGTGAATGTGGCGCTAAGTGGCAGTGTTGTGCGTGACAAGGACGCTGTTCCGTTCCCCAGCACGGCCGGTGAACGACCCAGGGAGCGCGGCTGTTGGGGCGAGCAGACTCTTGATGGAAGCTTGGTGGGAGCTGGATGGGAGAGCCTGGGTGTGTGCAGCGTCCTGTGGCTCCTCCTAGGGCGCCCAGGGCCCTGCACCAGCCTGCCCGAGGAGGAGGGCATTAGGGGGAGGCCAGCCGGGACCTCGGACTGTGCCCTGACGGGGTGGCTTTGCCACTGTGGCCTCACTGTGCCTGGGGCGTTGGCCTCAGAGAGGGCCCTGGGCCACCTCCCATCCCCTTCTCCCTTCCTCCACGGAGGGCTCACGAAACACCTGGATTGCTGGGGTTTCAGACCTGGGACTCGTGGGCTCTGAAAGGTCTTGCTGGAAGCCATTGGGTTCCTGATTCCACTTGTCTGATGCGTAGAAAAGATGGGGAACCTTTGGGCTCTCAGCTCTGGGGACAGTGTGGCTGGCTGATGGGAAGCGGTTGTGCAGAAGCTGCGTCTGTTTCTCTCCACAGCACATGATTAAGTACCGGTACATCCCGTTCACGCACGGAAAGAGGCGGTACAGGGGCAAGGACGACGCCGGCAAGGCCTTCGCCAGCTAGGAGCGGGGCTGAGGACGCCTCGCGCTGCAGGAACGGTTTTGAGCCATTGTTAACAATGCCTTTTCTTCACATAAAGTAGTTGATTACGAGGGAGTCGAATTTTCTTTTTAAAAAGGAGCTTCAGTGATTTGTAGCTGGAATACCAGGTTCTTGAAGAAACTGGCACTTAAACCAAATCGAATGGATTTCTTTTTCAGTGACGTTCAGGTGTTTCTCATGGATGGAGTTGTAGTCAGCTGCAGGCAGGAAGCCAGGCGGGTGGAGCCCACAGGGGCGGTGCGGGCGGGCGGGCAGGAGTGCGGCCTGTGAGGGAGGAACGGCCGCTCCCCGCCAGGCCGCCTTCCCTACCAGCCGGAGGCGGTGCCACGCCACTCCATGGAGCCTGAGGGACCGTCTAGCCCGATTCCTGCGCGTTTGAAAGAACTGAACGCTTGAAAGGGGTGTCACGTCACTGTGGGTTCTGATGCCAGTTTCCTCGATTCATCTCACTGGAGATGCTTTACAGTTGGCCTCTATCCTGATGACTCAAAACTTTGTTCTTAACTACCATGATTGCTTCTGAGGGCCTGGAATTATAAATATATATATTATATTTTAATTGTTTGAGATTATTTTGACACATTTGATACGTAAAGAGTGTTTCGTTTTTAATTTAAATCTGTCCTCATGCAACCCCCATGAGGGGTGGCGAAGCTGGCGGCAGCGGACTGGCTTTGTGGGTTCAGCCCTTGGCCCCCCCACTGCCCGGGGGGAGGCAGAACCCATTTGCATGTCAGCTCTTTTGATGTGATCGAAGAAATACTCTGAACCATTTTACCAAGTGATTTTTCACTCCACCTTTATTAAAGACGCGTGCCCTTTCTTGTGTAGTCTTTATCTAAAACACGACGTCGCTGGACACCAGAAAGCTCAGCTTTTGTTTGGCCTTCCCAAGAGCTGAGCCAGTTTTGCCAGCAGCAGAACACCCCTGCGGTGGTCCCGGGCGAAAGACGGAGACGCGAGGAAAGGCTCTCCGGGGCCCCCAGCCGCGCAGGCACCCCACTCTGGGCAGCGTTTCCGTCTTAGAATTTAGATGGTGAATGTTTATTGTCTGGATTCTTTCGCCAGTGTCTGCATATCTGACATCAAGCTCAAGAGGCCCGTCCCGCTCGTGTGTCCCTGACCCGGGTCAGCAAGTGCTGCTCCCAGTTGGTGCTCTTGGTGCTGTGTTGAGGCACTCGGGGTTCTCAGACTCCAGACAGGAGCGTTTGTCACTTTCCGTACTGTTTTCCTGGTAAGCGCTCAGGCCCAAGATGTGACAGGCAGTCGTGTGCACGTGGCCAGAGCACAGTGTGCGTCAGAGGACTGGGTGCGATGGATGGACCCACGGAGGACCGCGCTCTTTCTGTGGGAAGCACGGAGGCATCTGCCCACCCGCCTGCAGCCCCCAGTGCCTCTCCTAGTGCTCCGCCAAGTCTAGAGGGTCACAACCCCCCACCCCTGCAAGCTGACCTTGACCGACCTGGGAACACAAGGTCATCGGTGTTCCTAAGCTGGCAGGGGAATGTGATGTGCGGTCACAACCCCCCCACCCCCGCAAGCTGACCTTGACTGACCTGGGAACACAGGGTCATCGGTGTTGCTAAGCTGGCAGGGGAATGTGATGTGCACCCTTGAGGTATTCTCACACTGCGCTCTGAACTCTCAAGTTCAGTCTTGTCATTAATGCACCCACAGTTCAGTGGAATTAGTTTATTAGATGTGCTAACGGCGAGGTTGTCTCTGGCACAGGTTAAATGCAGTTTTAAAAACCTGGAAACATCAAAGGGAGGCAGGAAGTAGGCTGGGGCTGAGCTGAGGGGCCGCACACAGCAGTGACCCTGGGTCCACAGGTTGCCTGCCCAGCAGGCCCCAGGAGAGGGCTCAGGTGCCCCTGGCAGCCCCCCAACCCTGCCCCGCCCGAGGACTTGGCACGCGAGTGTGTGTGGGTCAGGAAGAGCCCCTCTACTTTCTAGAACTGGAAGCAGCCTTGATGTGTGTTTAAGGTGTGCCAAATGCTTCAGACAGGTGCCAACCTTGGTTGGTCTCTCTGCCGTGTGGTCATTGAATCCTGGTGGAGGCGCTCTGCCCAGCTGCCCGGGGGGGGGGGAATCCCACCGCCTCCCACAGGGGCCCTGGGGCACTCTGGCTGAAGCAAACCCAGCCCCCCGTGCCCCGTACCAACTCAACACACACTCATTCAGTCCACTGCCTTAACACGAGCCTGATGGAACCATCTTCTCACAATATAAATGAATAAAGTGTCTTCTGGCTACTTCTGAAGTTAGTTCTCAACTGTGTGGTTCGGGGAAGGGAGGGAAACAGTGAGACTGCTGAAGTGGCTGAGTCGTGCCAGGCTGGGCTTGGGGAAGTGCTCCATGTTTGGGCACCCCGCCAGGACTGAGAAAGCACAGTCAGGGGCAGCCATTACCTCCCGGGCTGGCTGGGTTAGTGTATGGCATGGCAAAAAACAGACAGTGTGAGAACGTTCTCATTTCCGTGCAAGGTGAATCTTGAGGCTAAATCTTGCCGGTCAGACTCCCGTGGAAGTCATCTGTGTTCAGGCCCGCGCAGGTGCGGCTCAGCGGTAGTGCCGAAGGTAGACAAGCTTCTGGGGCGGGAACTTCTCCCGGCAGAGGGGACACTCCGCCTGCACAGAGGAGGAAGGGTCACAGTGGCTGAGACCACCTGCGCCGTGCCCACGCCCATCAGCACCTCGTCGCGTCCAGCTCTCTGCCCGTGACACGGAATGTAAACATGTTCTGTTTCCTTCAGCTAATGACCAAGAAAGAGAAAGCCAGCCTTTTCCCAGAAGGCCGAGGCCCAGTGGGGGCTGGGGTGGGGCTGGGGGCGTGGGTTTCGGCCTTGAGGTTCCCTCCTGCTCCTGCAGCTGACACAGCCCAGGCAGCCTGGCTCCTGGTAAGGTGCTGCCCTCACCCTGCCGGTGTCTTGGGTGGGTGTGAGTCAGTGTGCCAGGGTTTCCAAGTATGGTGAGGACTCCGGGAAGAAAGATGTGCTGGGGTGCACGGGGCAGCCATGGCGCCTTTCAGGGCTGGCTGCTGCCCCAACCTGTGTTCAGCAGAGCCTCGGTATGCTTGAATTTGGAACTTTAACCCCCCAGTGGCCCCACATCTGACCTACCTGGGGGTCTTTAAAAAGATGCCCACCTCCCTACCCTCAAACTGGAGAGTTCAGAGCCAGACTCCCCACTTCTGCTGCAGCCACCCCAGGACCCCGGCAGGTGCCCGCCTCACCTTGCTGCTGCAGCACGCGGTGATGCACTCCCAGCAGAACAGGTGGCCGCAGGGCGTGGCTGTCGGGTGCCTGCGCTCCTCCAGGCACAGGGTGCACAGGGGGTTTCTGGAGATGATTCTTTCCTCCAGGGAGCCTCTGGCGAAGGTGGGGCACAGTGTCAAGGTGGGTGCATCTTGCAGGTCCTCACGAAGTGCCCAGGGCACCCCCAGCCCCGCGTGGCCCCTGAGCACACCTGCGGTGAGACAGGGCGCGGTGCAGCCTCCATTCCTTCCTGGCTCGCTGCCGCTGCCTGAAGCCGTACAGCTGCAGCCCCACAGACAGCGCCAGGTGCAGGAGCGACACTAGCCCCAGTAGCCTGTAGCTCGTGCGGGCTCTCAGGGCCTCTCCGGGCATGGGGTGGACACGGAGCTGTAGGGCAGACAGTGCCACACCCATCAGGACCCTGAGGGGATCTGGCCTCAGCGCCTGCTGGGAGGGTGACGTTAGAGCCAGGTCTCTCCCTGGCACTGGGAGCGCCCGGCAAAAACAAGCTAGGGGGACGGGTTCGGGGCGTCCCAGGCACCCGTCTCGCAGCCTAGCATGAGGGAGAGGTCGAACTCCAGACCGGCCTTGGCATCGTCAACACAGAGGGAGTCTCTGAGCTATGAGGCTGTCGGAGTTGGGGAGCGGGTGAGGATGTGGGGGTATCCAAGGACCACTTCTCAGAAAAGGAACCTGTAGGGTGGCCAGAGAAGGAGCTGGGGTGGGGGGCAGGAACGGGGGGGGCTGGGGGGGGTTGCAGATGTGACCCCCCAGCTGTCCTCCAGGGATGGAACCCCAGTGTAGCAGGCACATGGCCCCAGGGATGTGGCTCCTGCTCTCCTGCTGCTGGCAACGCCTGTGGCTTCTGGCCGTGCTGCGGAAGGACAGCTGGCTGCCTTTGGCTTCCTGTGTCCCTTCCCACTGGCTGGGAAATGGAGATGGCCAAATGGCCTCAGCTCAGGGCTGGGAAGCATACGGAGGTGCAGGTCACACCACCAGCGTGGGCCCTGGGGGTCTATACTTCCTGGCTGTCCTAGGCAAGAGGGAGCCTCCCATCTGGTTTGAGCCCTGTTTCCAGGCCTCTGTCACAGCAGCTCAGCAAAGCCTCGCTAACATGGACACGGCGAGGAGTCACGTCAAATACGCGAGGCTGGGCACGCCGAGGACCAAGAGCTGACCACTAGCTCTGTGACGAGGAGGCCATGGTGGCCTTCTGTTCAGGGTGTGTGTGGAGGTGGGGTCGCCTGGCGACTGGGGACTGAGGAGCCCAGCATGCCCCTGAGGACGGAAGGAACGAAGGGGGTCCCTTGGAGGCTTGTTCTGGAAGGAGCATGTGCAGCATGGCAGCGGGACCGTGGGGGAGGCTTTGTTGCTGAATCTGGAAGCAGGGGCGTCAGCTGGGGGTCAGGATGGGCAGAGGTGAGAATGGCCGTCTGATGGGGCAGACCGCTGGGCGTGCAGGGGCGAGGTGTGAGGGGCTGGGGCTGGAGTCCCTGCTCCCACACTGTCTGGGAGAAGCTGCTTGTTCCCCAGAGCAGTGACATGGGCAGTCACAGGCCCACCAGGTTCAGGGATCTGTTGTGAGGCGTGACCCAGGCCCCCGGTCAGTAAGGCTGAGTGCAGGGCCTGGCATCTACGTGGGGCTGCAGCAGGGGCTCATGATAAGCTCAGGGTCTGCACGTCCCTGGATTTTTCAGCCAAGTGCAACTAAACAAAACCTGCCTTTTTCCAAGGAGAGGATTTGGGTTTCCTCCTTGACACAGATGCTGGAACCCTGTTGGCTGAGAGGCCTGGAGGGCCAGCTCTGTGCACACACCCAAGTCCAGCGGGGGTGACAAGGGTGGCCGAAGCGGCCGTGCCCTCAGCACCTGCTACTTACGTACGTGACCCCTGTGAGCCTCTTGGCCAGATGGTAGAAGACGCCGTGGATGTAAAACCAGGCAATGTGTAGCCGCTGGAGGCAGGTGAGGCCCTGTCGGAGGACAAAGGCCGCCCGCAGCAGCGCCCTCCTCTGCTGCTCAGGCAGACTGGCAGTGTGGCGACGCACCCAGCGCCGCGCCCCTGAGCAGCTGCGCCTGCCCGGCACCAGGCTCCCCTGCGAGGGTCGCCCACTGTCGGGGTCAGCCTGCAGCTCCTGCTCCAGGGGGAGCAGGGCTTTGTCCAGCAGGTAGGGCAGGACGGCATGCAGCGTCACCAGTGCACCACGGCGCAGCCAGGAGGGCACCCGCCTCCCCGATGGGTCCACCTGCACGATGCTGACATACTCCTCCCCGAGGGTCTGGTAGCCTACGAGGGAGA